GATCTTTTAGAGAGAGTTTCTCTCTACAGATTCCATCCCAGGAGTCTGGGGAAGGGACAACTAAAAAAAAAAGTCGCTGAATAGCATCAAGCATTTATTCAGCTAGTGCCAGAAGGCAAGGGACAGATCTTGTCAGCTAGACTAGAAAGGATTGATCTTAATCTTCATAAGAAAAACTAGAATTGCCTTCTTAAACAGAAGAAAATATAAATTTTCAAGGCAAAAGAAAACGTGTATTTATCTCAAACCTATAAATAGATACAAAAATACTCCCAGCCTTGCTATGCTTCTATGAATTCAATGCATGAAAAAAAAAAAAAGCCAAACGCAAAACCCACCACCAAGATTTAGCTAATAGGTCTTTTAAATTTAAAGATATTTTATTCTGACAAAGGGAGGGGAAGTTCCTGGTAGCAAAGAGCATAGCTCTGAAAAAAAGAACAGGAGGAAATGAACTATTCAATCCATGCTGGAAAGCTATTTGTGGAACTCAGAGAGTACAAAGGTAATGTTGCATCCTGAAGAAGAGGGTAAGTCTTCATGTATAAGACTCCTTGTTCTTGGTTAAGAACAGAGCTCAGCTTTCAGGTCCGTATTGTATACGTTTGCGGAGTTGGTTTCTAGTACGGTAAGAAATAACAAAAAGTTTGCCTTAGCTACAAAAAGCAAGCCTAATGTTTAATTGCTGTTGTTTGCCAAGTTGCCAGGTGATCCCATAAACTGGTTGAGGATGGGGTCCTGCAGGGCACAGCGGATGTGCTTTAGAAAGCAATGAAAAGAATCCCCCAAAAAGGTCTGTGAAATAATAACCCAATGGACAGTTGAAGTTGCAGTGGCAGGTAGTACAGCCTGCGATAGTTCTAGAAACTCCCCAAGAGTTTCATGGGCAGAAATGTCATCCCAGAGCTTTAGACAGATTTTGTATCTCCTGTGATCAGACTGCAGGGTCCGTGGAAAATAAGGACTTTGGTCTTGAACTTGTCTTCATGGTCACAAGTTTTCAGAAAAATTTTGACTTGCTCATACAGCGATGTTGCTGAGGAGAAAATGGCCTACCAATTCCTGTTCTGAGTGAATTTGTTTTGAGGACAGATAGCTTCATATCCAGACATATAGTCCAGACTGGTAGCAATGGCATTTATAACAGTGGGCAGATCTGCCAGGATGAGACAGATTCACCTATCCAATCACAGATGGTAGAAAATATTACTCACAGATGCTGCTGTATGAGAGCTTGGCTTCAGCAAGGAGTCAGGAGCACTCGCAGAAATGGATTTTATTAGCTGCGGTGCATTTCTCCCAAGGCTGATTTACTGTATGCTATAAGGAGGATGAAAAATGGAAAAAATAAGAATCTTCCTCTGAAAGAAGAATGATATATTTGATTGTAAGCAGCCTCAGTTGCTCATGACTTTCTTTTGTCAGACTGAGAAATTGTTGAATTCACAAGATCTGAGTCAAGACTCCTTCAGTGCATCTGGAGTTTCCCAAGGAGTGAATGTACTGAACTCAAGAAGTGCTGGTGGGTGGGAGCGATGGCTGGGGAGAGGGAAAGCTGGGCTTCCTGAGGGTGGAGAGGGATAGACTGGCAAGCCTTTTGGAATTGCTGCTAGTGATATACCAGTAGCATTTTTCAGAGTAAATTCACGTTAGGACAAACCGCCAGTCACTGGCAGAAGGGAAAAATAATTAAATCTCAATGCCTCATTCTAAAATGCTAGCGTTTTGGTGAAGAATTCTGCTTCAGAGCTGCATTACTGCAATAGTTTCACCAAGGACAGAGCAGGATTGTGATGGGTGAGTGAGGCAGCTTCAGGAGCCCTGCTTTCAGCCTGCTCGCCCTGTGCCCAGCATTGGTAGCATCATGTTTTACAGAGCTCATTGCAGTAGCGCAGGTCACTTCCTCGGGTTATCTTATGGCCTTTTCTTTTGCTTGCCTTCCTCCTGGCTGTCTGGCACAAGTAAGAGATCAGTAATACCTGCTGCCGGTGACGGCTGCTGTTCTGCACCTCTCCCCTTCTGTCCAGAAGAGGACCATTCACAATGTAACGCAGGAAAAAGTGCTCCAAGAGGCATCCAAGGAGGAGCTCCACTGTTTGCTGGAATTCTGCTTTTATTTGTTCTAATAGTCACCCGTCCCAAAAAAAGGTTACGAAACTTACATGTGAACTAAAATATTAATATTGACCTGCAGTAGTGCAAGGTCAGGTACAAATAAAAGTTGCACAATAGCAAGGAAGTGCGGTTAGCAAGGTGATCCTGAATAGGAAGTGTTGATATCTTATTATGTTATAATATTATGTTCTTTTGACCCTGTTAGTGAGTAGATTATCAGTATTAGTGCTTTCAGGAGTATCCTTTCACTTTTTTGCTTCAGGCATTGCTGTACCAGTTTGATTAATATTGCCAGGTGTTGGTAAATCTGCATCTAGTGCAACCCTAGTTTCAATATCAATATAGTCCATACAAATTTAGAATACAGAGGGCTAGTTGTCTCATGTTTTACCTGTCCTGGGTAAAATGTTTGCTCTTTTCATTAGAAAGATAACGCATCACTACTGATGTTTTGGGTGTTTTTTACAAGGAACTTTTATGGTTCAGTAGAGCAGAGGGAAACATTTCTGGCAGATTCTTTTCACATAGCTTCAAGTTTCTCAAATACATATTGTTAGCTCGAGTTAATTGTCTTCAGACTCTCATGACGGGGAGGGGGAAGGGAAGACCACATTTCAGAACACTAACTTCTCTGATCCCAAATTGTATCCAAGGTAAGTGGGATGAATTATCCTTTGAAGGTTTCTGTCCCTGCCCACTAGCAACTGAGAGAGGCTAGACACATAATGGTTAAACAGCCAACTTCAGTAAAATAAACCTCATCAATGAAAAAGAAAGATCAACCAAAATATGTCAATGAAACAAATTACCTAGATACTCAAGAGGGAGGAAAATAAATTTGGCTTGATGTGTCTAAATTTCATCTAAATCCAAATTGTCTTTGGACTTGATTCCCCAAGGTTTTCTCTCCTACATCTCCACTCATGCTAGGAGCAGCACTAGGTATGTTTCACCCAAGTTCTGTTTAGAGGCATTCGAAAAGACATAAAAAATGCATGGGCTTTTTCTACAGAGGATAACCTCAGTGATTAACAGTCCTTTTTCCACTTTGTCTGTAACTTGGTAAACGGCTAAAAGGTTAGGCACAGTTATGTTTTCCCAGAGAAGACGAGGGACCATGCTGTGTCTGAGAATCTTTGCTTAATATCTGCTCTCCTTTTAGCTTAACGAGGAAACACATTGCAACAGTCTTCCTTCCCCTGCAGCTCTCACCAAGACACCTTTCCCTTGCAAAGTTGTCCTTGCCAAGCCATCCAGCAGCGAGACATACCACCATGAAAGCTGCACCTTTCCCTTTCACCCTCCCTCTCCAGGCGTGCCTGTGCTGTCTCTGATGAGATGGACATGCTGCTTTATTACTGCTGCAAACATGTGGAAAGCATCATTTTCTGGTCCTTCATGATGATGGGAGCTACACTGATTTAAATAACTGGTCTCAGGAAATGAAAATAATGCATCAAGTGCTTTACGTCATTGTGATTGCTAGCCTTAGTTCTATACTTAGTTTACTCCAAATGGTTTATAAAATAAACTATCAGATTAAAGAAGAGCAGTGCACAATATTGCAGAAACATCCTTCAAAATGAGGAATATATCTCACTAAATAATATGAAAAAGAAACTCTAAAGTTCCTCTTATGTTATTTCAAATTGTATTAATTTTTATAATTTCCTTAAGCTTGATAGGAATTCAATGCCAACACAATTTATTCTAGGCAGGAATACCAGCCTTGCCTGTATTAAGATTAGCTGATGCTTCTGGCTTCATAATGCATTTTCGAAATCCTAACAAGTTTATCAAATTGAACCGAAATAATCACAACTTTATTAAGCTGCTCAGGCTTAATACTTTTGAATATTTCATTTAGATTAAACCAACTGTTTTAGAGAACCAAAACTAGTGAAAAATATGTGGGTTTGTCCATGTTAAAACAATTTGGCAATATATTTTGAATACTGGATGAATGTTCATTAGTAATAGAAGTATATATTAATTTAAAAGACATGAACATAGGCACAAGAGGACTGGCATAAAGTTAATTGGAGCCTGATATTTGAACATGCTTACACTTTTGCTACTGAAATAATGTATTTGCAGTGTATTTTTTCTGTGTTGCTATGTGTATAACAGTAGACATAATGTAGAGATTGTATGCAACTATACGAGACTGTTAATACATGGCTTGGATTATTCTTTTTATTAGCAAATCTAGTTTTCTTTTTTGAATCTAAAATGCATGCAAAAATTAAAATGTATTTTAAGTTGCATCTACATAAAAGTCTTTAACTTTTGTAATATAGAAAAAATACATCATCCTTTTCTGCTCCCTGGCTAACAGAGACAAATTCTAAACACACACACACACACATACACACACACTCAGCCCCCCAAAAATGTACTTATCTGTTAATACTTTGCAAGTGTGTTTTCCACATCCAAGAAGGTTTCAGAAAAGTGAACACTCTAAATCTTAGTGAAAACAAAATTTCTTCTTAACTCCTGCTGCTCTGCGAGATGTAATGAACGTTTTTCCACATTTGCATACAAAAACACAATAGTGGCTTTCTAGAACATATTTTTTTCATTTTCCAGAAGTTAACATTAAACCTGGACTTCCATAATTAATAATCCTCACAGTTTCTTTTTGGAAGTCAGAACGCACTTTAGATTCTTCTAATAAACATGAAACAAACTAAAATAGTTTTGTGTCTTCTTGCTTTCATCTTTTGATATTTCTGAAACTTTTCTTTGTTCATTGTTAAAAAAACCTTTTTATTAGCAACCTGTGTTTTTCTCCTGGTATGGGAATAAAGCTTTACAGGGATCTATCTATGGCTCATGAGAATCTCCTCCATTTTTTTAAATTTTTTTTTCTGTCTCTCCAGATCATTAAAGACCAGAAGCTACTGGTGATAGTTGGAGGGATGCTACTGATTGATCTTTGCATCTTGATTTGCTGGCAGGTTGTGGATCCTTTGAGAAGGACAGTGGAAAAGTATAACATGGAGGTATGTCCTCAAGCCCAATACTTGTGGTTGCGTATCAGTATCTACAGCTTTCTGTAAGACCAAACTAAAAATGCACTAGGTTACATGAAGACAGATCAAGCTGTGTATTTGGGGGGAAGAAGAGTTCTGTTTTTTAAAAGCAGATAGAAATTAAATAACTGCAACCAAAAGAAATTGTACCTGAAGCTGAAGGTGCCACATTTCTGTCACTTGTGAGAGACTTTAGAGGAATGTTGTAAACACAGGAGGGTCCTTTGCGAAGACTCTCCATCAGAGTCTGTTGCAATAAATAATAGATTATCAGAACCCATTAGCAGATTTCAGTAAGAGCTTATTCAAGATAAATGCAGGAGAGGTCACTGCTTAGACTGCGTTCTTTGTGGAGATGTTCAGGAATTATGTTACCTACTGCTATATTTATTTTTGGTAATAGAGTGTGCATACACACATACTGATTGTTCCTACTTTAATGTCATTCCTAGAAAGGTCATGCTACACATTTTGGTGGGGAGGAGGTAACAGCATAATGTCCCTTGCACAAATTTTCCAGGGTTCTGGTAGGTTTCTAGAAGGAGAGCTTTCTGGACAAACTGACAGCAAGAAACATGGCAGCAGCAATGCAGAAGTAAGAAAAAAAAACAACTATCTGTATGCAGATTAGCAGCATTTGAGAGTTTATTACCTGCAACATAGAAACTGGTGATATCTGAAAACTAGATTATATGAGGACAATCTAAAAGTGTTATTCTGTTCTCCGATACTTGACAGTCAGTAAGAAAAATAATGGCAGTTTCCTCTTCTGATGTTAATGTTTGCAAGAAAAGATATGGTATATTGATTTTACTTTGTTCTTACTTCGCATTGTAGCTCTTGAATTTTATTAGGAGAAAATGTTACTGTTTATTTGAATATAATTTGTAGAAGGTAACTTAGAACTTCCCTCCTAAACTGCAAGGGATGCCTTTCAAGAAATCATTTCAGAGTCTGAAAAGATACCTCTCAGTCGTTCAGAGTTTGAACATTTTTTTGAAGAGACTCCCTAGTTATTACAGTTGTCAGTAAAAAATGGAAAATGTAACTGAAATTTGTCTTGTGGAGACACTTCTGCTCTACGTTTGTAGAGCATGAAACAATAGCAGCTTGTCAATAGCCTTGTTTACTTCATTTCGTTGCAACTGCGTTGCAACTGATATTTCAATTATCAGTGTTGCTAACTGTTTTACTACTCGTAGAAAACCAAACATAATATGATGAGGAGTCACAAAACCTCATTGAAATAATGGTCATTTCAGTGCTATGGGTGAATGAGTTAGGACTTTTTTCCCTGATCAGAGAGAAGCCATAACTAAAGATCCTGATATCTTGTCTTAGCAGAATCACTCAAGTGAAATTTCTGTAGACAGCAGCAGTAACTGCGAAGTTATCAAACCAAAAATACCAGATATTTGAAAAATAATGTTTTTTTCAGTTTTAAATGATTGCAGTTTCCATCTGAATTTATCAGTGTGTATTCTTTGGTTGTGTAATGCATACCAGTAAAAACTTAGTGTGTTTGTTCCAGTTTCAGTGCTAACTAGACCACAGTGCTGCACACAGGTTGCGTGAACTTTGTATCAGAATTGGAATTCTCTGGAACTATGTAAGCCTGTGCAAACTCACTGAATGCACACATGAGAATGTGGAATATTGTGAACACTGAGCATGCAATTGAATTAAACTTGCTGTTAGAGCTCTTCGCTATTACTGTAAGTTGTGTAGAATGTTTTTTTAAGCTAATGGATTTTGGGAGTGGAGGAAATGAAAGTATTATGTGAGAAAATTTGATTATTAAAATACTGTACATATATTTTTACCTTCTATAAGCAGTGAGGTGAACTGCAATTTGCTTTCCTGAAGCAGATCTCTTCAGGTCTCTCAGAAACTCCTTTGTAAAAGCAAGTGACAATTGTATTATTGTATTTGCTTTTTTAAAAAATTATTTTAGTTTTCTTTTCTTAATTTCAGATTTTTTTAAATGCATTCTGCAACGGTGAATTATTTAGTTGAGCTTGCCTGAGCAGGCATTATATTTAGTGTGTTTGACAACTGTTTATCACATAGTAAACACTACTGGAGGCAAGTTTCTGTTTTATTTCAGGAATATTGGGTCAAGTGTATTCCTTGTCCCACTTGCTTCTATGAAATAATTTTTAAAATTATTTCATGATTTCATTTTAAAGGGATATTTTTTCTCCGTTAAAGTTGATCCAAGTGATAGAGACTAAAGTAAATGTAGGCTCCAAAGTTATGAATGCAATCAGTCATTCTAGCTAATGAGCAATTTGAGTGCTGTTTCAACTATGAATACTATGAGCTTCCTATGTGAAAGTTCTGCATTTGGCCACTATCAAGTGGTCCTCTGTTAACTGTGTCTTCATAAACATGTCAATCAAAGTTGCCAAGATGAGGAGCCTGAAAACTGACAGTGCCCTTCACTTTTTGGCATTATTCACAAAATAGTTCATTTGAATACTTAAACCAGCAAATTATCAAGCACTTTTTGAAAAAACAAACTCCTTTTCTGCAGTCATTTGTAAAGTCAAGCTATCCGTGCCTTAAAAGCTGTGGATGGGCAGTGTACATCTAAAAATACAAAGGGAAGTGAAGGCACTTGTGGTGACTCTCTGCCCCTGACAGAAGGAACAAATCAGATGGGATGTTGGGTCTCAGTTTTCAGGCTGCTCTCTGGCATCCTGACCCTAGATGTCAGATTTCCTTATGAAAAACACATCTAGGGCTGCTGTAAGACATCATGGTAAAAATTTTAATGACTAAGCCCTAAAACATCCAGATCCTTCAACTGTCAGTAGAGTAGTTGTTTGGTATGTGATATACAAACAACAAAATCATTGGATAAAAGCAAATAGGTTACAGATAAAGACAGGGACCACTTTAAAATTTCCATGGCTGTACGCTGATCTCTGACAGAACAACTGTAAGGTTCCTCCTACGTACGCTTCATACAGAGTACTTCAAACTTGATTCTCATGTAACGCAAATGCATTTTCTGACACAAAATGCTTCTCAGTTTCAAGCAGCAGAGAAAAAAATGGGAATTAATCCATAATGCTTCCTCTATTCATCTGTTTTGCTTGTTGCATCGACTGTAATATTTCTCCTTTTACTAATGTTTCAGACCAGTGAAGAGATCAACCACGTTTTTTCTTACTAGCTTCTTTCTAGGCTGAACTAGGAATTTGCTTTTTTCATTGTAATTCACTTTTTTTTGTCATAATCAAAATGCTCTGCAGATATGATCTGATCTTAACTAGATTCCTGCCAGACTAAGTTTCTCCTGGTTGTGTGAACTGGAGTGTATCCTCCCTTGCCATCCCGCTGGCTGAGTTCTTGGGCTCGACAGGCCATGAGGAATTACAGTGCTTCTGTGTATGTGGCTATGGAATAGCTTTGCTGCAGTGGCAAGGCTCTACCACCCTTTTCCAACCATCTGAATTTTGTCCTGGTTACTTAAGAAGGCAATATTTACTAGGAAGGGTGCCCTGTGTGGTTTTTTTTACTGCCTAACAAACTTTCTTTGCCAGTGTCAGTCAAGCCTGACAGAGCAGATACAGCTCTTAAAAGACATAGCATTGCTACAGATTTGATGGAAACAGACAGCTGTGTGGAGGAGAGGTTCTGGTAGTTCCCCTTTCCTTGAGAAGAGGGTCACAGAGAGAGTTTACCCCTCTGTCTAAAGACAAATATTATAAACGACCTGCTAAAAGGGAGCTTCACACTTAATTAGACACAAAGAATCCAGCCACAAGACAAAAATACCTAGGAAAGCGGCTTGTTCCAATTCCAGTTGCACATTGATACACCTGCGTTTGAATGAAACCACAGTCTGAAATAGCAAAATCCTTTTACAAAGTGGAATCTGTTCTCCATGTGCAATAGCTGTATCATAATTCAATTATGTACCTGCTACAGTTCAGTAAGTCTGTGTATAGACATACATTCAGACTCACCTTTTCCTTGTAATACAGTGATGTAGTAATTCTTTTAGCTTGAAATCCTCTGACTGGCTTGTCTTCTCCCAACACAAGTATCTGTGACACAGATTGAATCACTAAGGCCTTGGAAAGTAACCAATAATAATGTTTAATAAATAAGAACTTGTACACTGGGGAAAATTAGCTAGATTTTATAGTTCCTAAGGTGTGTTCAACTCAGGAAAAGTAATACTTTGCATACTGGATGCCAATATTTCTTGTAGAATTTTATCGTAGAATTTTATCATAGGATTTTAAAACCTGTTTATCCAGGGCAGCAACCTTTACATTCCTTGGTCTCTTAGTACCAGTTAAGTAGTTATCTCTGCAATGTTTCCTCTTATGCAACCATATGATAACATTATCAATATTTAAAAATAGGTTTCATTTTGGTATTTGGAATACCAGAATTTAAGGTTTCACATTGAATTGTTCTGCGATGGTAATAAACATTAAATGAAAAAGAAAAACCCAACCTAGAACAAAATACCATTTTTGAAGATACAGAAAAGAAAACCAGGTCAGTGAGACAACAGCTTATTTGGGCTTCTAGCACTTATATAGAAATAAAATGTGGAAACTAAGAATGCCCAACTTTAATAAGTTTAATAATATCAATATGCAGGAAAGATTGAGTAAGCCATGCCAGTAGCATAGTAGTGCAGTCTGTTAAAGAAAACTTGGAGCAAAATCATATTAACAAATTAGTCATTTCAGTGAGTGAGGCAGAATTCCTATGCAGTCTAAGCGTATAACTGTGCTATCGGACACATATTACTAGCCAACAAGCCAGAAGGTCAGCTTTGACTGGTATGTTGAGGGAGTCATAAGTGTCCATCTGTGTAAGGTGGACAAACGTGCTGCTCAGACTAACTCATTTAGGAGCAGTGACTTCTTTGTAATTCAACAGATTAGAGAATCCACAAACAGAGGATTAATACTTGGTTTCATTCTGAATAGCATACAGAA